TATAATTTTATATAATTGTATATAAATGGACATATATTTTATATATAATTGTATATAATTATATACAGGATTGGCAAGTAACGCGTTATACTTGTAACGTTACCGTTAAAAGTTACTTTTTTGGATAATGATTGAGTAACGACGTTACATTTTAATCTTCTGAGTAACGTTCATGGTAACGCAGTTACATTTTTGGAGTAATGATTGTAACGATTTCACTAGTTACTTTTATCGCGTTACTTTATTTCTATTTACATAAAAGTTTTAATCGTAACTAGAGCATATATATATATATATGTATATACATCTTTTATATATATATATATACATTTATCACAGTTTTTGAGTTTTATTCCTCTACTAAGAAATAGAATTCTGATATCTTTTTTATATTTACCGCAAAAATCTGCATATAATAGCGTTTTTCAGTTAGCATTGGTAGAATTAGTGAGCATTCAGTGCATTAAAACTTTAAAACCGCTGTGTAATTGACGTAAAGATGTATGATTAATAAAAATATAGAAACGAGTTAAACCGCAAAATCCTCAATACATTTTATTATGCTATTTGATAAAATATACGTTAGGCGTTTTGTCAATTGAGATATCTCTCATGTTTATATTTAGATTAGAGTTGTGTACGACGGCTTTAATGTGCATTGAATGCGCACAAGTTCTGCCAATGAAAAACGCTATAATATTCTATTAGTGTTAAGAAAAAAAGTAACGAAAAAGTAACGACTCGTTACATTTTGAGTGAAGGTAACGATAACGTCCGTCAATTTCGCATTTCCGCAGATCCGCTTCATCTGAGTGCACCCTTAACCTGGATCCTCATAGCAGGGTAAATTTTACCCCCACAACCGGTTTTTCACCAATCAGTGTTTGGTGTCAGAGCTGTTGCCCGTATGAGGATTCGGGCTTATAGATCCAACCAATCATATTCAATCGCTCGGTAAGTATGCCTAGCTTTTTCATCTTGAACTCGCCCATTATTATGAAATCGGGATTACGGAACACGAACGTAGATATTTTACAGTGATTGAGCTTATATTAATTTCTCAAAAACAATGAGTGTTTGTGCAGTAAATGTAAATATTTCAATAAGAGAAAAAAGAAAACTTTTTATTATGTATTACATACAATTGTATCAACACAAAATTTTATTATTCTCCATTTACACATTTACATACAAACTCTTGAAATTATTGATCTATTTAAAAAAATATATATTGAAAAAATTTCGTGCTGTAATACCCTGTAATATAAATATTTAACATTTCTTATCATTTACTTATAAAAATCACAAAAATTAACTAATATCTCAAGGTATGCATTCTTCCATAATTTTAATATTAAATTGTACAAAATTTATTAACATTATTAAGCTAATGTTGTTAGAAAATTCAAGTTAGCCGCTTAGTGATGACATATTAAGCTACAATTCTCATTGGCTGAGTATACTTGGGATGCGCATGCATCGCAAAAGAATACCCTTGTATTAGAGTGGGTATAAAGAGAGTGAAGCCAATCCTGGTTCTCCTTCCTGATTGGTTCCGCCATTTTATGATTAACTGTTAGTTAGAGGAAGACGACGTTAGAAAAAGAAAAGGTAAGGATGAGGAATTATTTGTTGTAAATGGCGACTTCCGGTTAATTGGCTTCACTCTCTTTATACCCAGTGGCTACGGTTACACCGTGCATTTAGGCCGCGGCCTATACAATAGACGTCTTTGTTTATCCTGTATATTAAACAAAGACACCTATCGTATAGGTCGCGGACTAAGCGCACGGTGTAAACGTAGCCACTCTACCATGTATTAGGCCGGAATCAGACTACGCATTGAGATTGAAGATTGACAAATTCAAATTTGACCAATCGAAACGAAAGGAGCTAAAATTTCTTTGTCCTTATTGGTCAAATTTCAATCTTCAATCTTCAACCTCAATCTTCAATGCGTAGTCTGATTCCGGCCTTACTTTCTCCCATGACTCTTGCTATTACCTGGCTAAAGCCTTGTGTCCACGATGTTAAAAATTGGTCCGAGATCTCGGAGAAAGAAAGAATTAACCAATCACATTTAAACAATTTAGTCACATGATCAATGCGATTGGTCAATTCTTTCTTCATCCGAGATCTCGGACGGATTTCTAGCATCGTGGACACTGGGCTTAAAGGAAGCTAGAAAGTTCTATGCAGTTCTATTGTTCTGAAAGTTCTGAAATTCAGTTTTATTGGAGCTAGCTAAAAACGTGGTCACACAATTTTTATATGTGATCGGTTCCCTCCATTTTCTCTTTGATTCTCAATATAGGTGCAAGCTTCATTTCTTTTTTTAAAAAAAAAGAAAGAATAAAGAGATTGGCTGAAACTTTACACTATTTATACCGCCGTTTTGTGAAAGAATCCGATGGTAACATAGTAAATTGAGAGTCAAGTGAGAATTTGGTGCATCAAAACTGTTCCTTTTCACGAAGAAAACCTTTGCCAAGTAAGATAAAACCTCGTAGATGTCAAAGAACATCTTTTATCTTCGCAATCGGAAGCTTTTGCATATTTTTAATAAATTTAGAGAGCTTTCTGACTCATCTAACCTTTCTTGTTTCATGCGCTACAGCATTCATAAGCGTTATTTGATGATCTAATATTCGCTTGAGCCCTAAATCTCGACGCTTGTGAACTATCAAAACTTGCAGAAAAATATAACGTAAGTTGCATTTTGCTCACAGTGTCGTTTGTTTTACATAAGTCTGTGTGCAAAAAGTCGAACGTATCATTTTTTGAACATTGCTTTGCGTCTCATTCCACCTACGAGATGATTTTTTATCAAACAATACATTTTTCTTTTAACCTTTTATAATTTTTTTCAACTTAATACATTTAACATGTGCTTCTATTTTTATTGTACTTTATTTGAGGTTAGGTTATTTTTTTGCTTCTCTCGATTGTTAATTGTGTTATTATTCACGAATGTTAAATAAATGTTCATATTCTAAAGTTACAAGCTTCGAAATCTTAATCTTATATTTTTTTATATAAAACTGCTTTAAGTAGACATTGGGCATATTCAAGTCGGCAAAACGGTTAAGCTGCTTGCCAAGTATGAATATAATTGGCTGTTACTTATAGATCCAAGCAATCACATTCAATCACTCGACGAGCAAGCTAGCCGCTTTGTCCAGATTGAACGCATTCATTTTCTTAACTCACAATAGAAGGTCTATCTTTTTTGATCTGAACTTTTTGCATAGGTCACCTTTCCTTTTTCTTCTTTCTTGAAAAGAAAAAGAATAAAGACAGATCCTGCAAAAAGTTGAGGTAAAACATGAAATACTTGGAATACTTTCGATGCTAAAAAAATATGTGTTTTTGATGCTCATTCAAGTTTTTATTATTATTTATTAGTTTTATTATTCTATATGTATCTATATGTATTTTATTTTAAATACATATAGATGTATTATTCCAATATCCAACTAAACTTCTTGCTTGTTTTATTATTAGTTTTAATTTTTTAAAGAATTTTTGAAGTTCTAAACAATGACAAATAAGATTGTAAAACATAATATTATTCAAAATCACATACAATTTAATAGTTATAAAAAGTTTTAAAGTCATCAGGATCCATGTGCTCCAATTACGGATTAATGATAGAACTAACCGATTGAAATGACATTAAAGTAACATTAATAATTAAATTTAGTAGTAAAATATATTTTAGAATCAGATTTTAAACTCACAAGATTTTAAACATATAGGAAAAATTGAATTGATAACATAGTGGACACAAATTTTGCAGACAAAGCACTATAAGAAAATCCTGTAAGTACTAGGCGAGGGGAGATGAAATGTCGAAGGGTTTGTCAAAATTAGTTCGATTTTTTATTTATGAAGGTTCAGAGTACAAAATGAATGAAAAATTGACTTATTTTTGTCCATGTTATCAAATTTTTTGAGAAAACTATTATCTTGATTATGTCACCGAAGCATGCATTTAGAAATATAAATAATTCTAAAAATTATTAGTTGCTGTATCTTCGATTTTAATTTCTGGATAGAAAATGCATTTCTGTTTATAGTTTCCTATGATGTTTTTTCATATTCTGATATGAACTCATTTTAAGTTAACTTAAAACCACATAGAAGCTGTTCTTTTTAGTTTTTTCTTTTTTGCACTTATCTTTCCTCTTTTTCTTTCATAGTGGAAAGAAAAAGAAAAAAGATGAACTAAGAGATGAACCAAGAAATTCAGCTAAAAGAAAGACCTTTTATCGCTGCATTGGACTATACTAAAATTTTTTATCTCGCTTTTGTCAAACTTATTTTATGTACGAATGTATACAAATTCAGCTACAAAGAATAGATCTTAGATTTGAGATGATATTTTACATATAAGGTGTTTCATAAATGCATGTCAGTATTTTAGGAGGCAAATCTAACTTGCTAAATTAAGTAAAAAAAAATATGAACATATATTCTACATACCTTAGTTTTCCAATTATGGATGATTAAAGAAAATATTTGAAGTATTCGCCTCGTGCGTCAACACACGTTACTGTATAGCTTAGCACGTTTTGACGTTATCTAATGTTTTTAGAATCACAATACAAATTGGACAGAATTTCAGGCAGTCAGTATTTTATGCTCACGAGTTACTGTTCTAAATACTGTTTTAAAAGCAGCAAAATGGTGCCCCTGGCTTAAGCAAAACTTGTGATTTATGCACGATGGTGCTCTGCTTTATTTCTATCTTGAAATAAGAACATTCCTAAACAACGCCTTCGTAAACCGATGGCTAGAGCGAGGCGGACTTACTCTATAGTCACGATCTCGTGATCTCAATCCATTAGATTTTCATTGAGGCCATTTAAAATCTATTGTGTATTTAATGCCAGTAAAAATGTGGATGATCTGCGAGAAAAGATACGAAATGGATTTGAAACTATTCGAAGAATACCTAGTATTTTTGAACGAGTGCGGAACTTAATGCTAAGGTATGCAGTAGCGTATGTTGATGCACAAGGCGAATACTTCGAACATTTTCTTTAATCATCCATAATTGGAAAACTAAGGTATGTAGAACATATGTTCATATGGCGTTTTCTACTTATTTTAGTGTATAGATTTACCTCTTAAAATATTGATATAAATTTATAAAATACCCTATATAATGAATTATGAATATTGTTTTATATTTATAATATTGATTATTCGATACATATGCTTTTAGTTACAAGCATAAAAATTAAAACAGTTATTTTTGCTATGATATGTAGATAGATCATAAAATTGTTGCTGTATTACATATATAATTCTGTAGAATAACGAGTTAATAACTTATATCAGTCTTGATTTTTATACTTTTATCGTAATAATATACTGATATACTTTATGAATCTCTAAAATTTTTGTATCCTACACACTGAATAAAATTTACCTGGACTATTTTTGAAGTGCGCACCATCCAACAAGGTCTTGAAGAAGTGAGGTTGACATCAGTTGGTTAAAAAAGAAGTTCTAAATCGATGCATTCTTGTATACAGCCAGTAATAGACCAGGTAAATTTTACTCAAATGTGAATTTTGATGACAAATATAGTATGCTAATGTAGGGTTAATTATAGCATTTTTTGTGTTTTAATTTCACAAGGTAATAATACATTTTTTTTAATCAAACAGAGATGGGGAACCAAGATGAAGTTCGTACGCTTCTCCTGTCGTTACTAATCGCAAGGAAAGGTGCGACACCTGTACCTGTTCTTGAGAGGGATTACTATGAAATGGAGAATAAACGTATACCATATCGTAAATTTGGTTGTAACAATTTAGTACAATTTCTCCAAAGCATGCCGGAGCATTTCGTTGTTGAAGAGTTTAACGGCGGTCACTACGTACGCGGGATAGCGGACAAAAGTAAGCATGTGAGTTCGTTGGTGTCACGTCAAAAAACTTCCTCCAACAACTTAAGAACCAAATATCCGTCTCGTCAAGCTCCTACATTCAATCGTCGCATTCAGCATACAAGGTTTCAACAATTTAGAATCACAACTGAGAATTTAATTAAGCTTGTTCAATATATCAAAAAGCATCCAAAAGGTGTGAGTTTGCAGAATGCTGTGCTATACGCACAGAAGCTAATGCCGCATGTTTCTATCTCTCAATATGATTTACAAACGCAACTGTATGAAGTAATGCATCAGTTGCGCCTGGATGGCAACATGATATATGCGATCCAGAATGATTTGCAAAGTAACGTAACCCAGCAGCCAAATAACCAACAACCTTTAACGGAAGAGTTTTCAATGCAGTTATGCAACAAACCTGAGTTACCGAGCGATTCAATCTCACTTCCGACACAACAAACTGAATATGCTGCTGGACAAGAAGACTTCGAATTGGTAGAGTGTTTTAGTGATGAAGATGCTTTCATGCCGCTCTGTAACAATACCGATAACTGCCAGAGACGTCTAACAACAAGCGAGATGCTCGCGACAAATCTTGCACAGTACGTAAAATCCGAACAAACTGACATGTTCAATTACAGCAAGATCCCAAATGAAACCTTAGAAAATTACTACTTTATGATGAATAGCAACTATACGGAAACGAGGGCTACTGAATGTCCACAAGACAAATCCGACATAGTAAGCGATAGAATAAAGGCTCGATTGGAGAAGTTATTGCAAAAATATCCGGAAGGCATCTGGTGTGCTGATCTGCCCAACACATATCTTGAAGAATATAAGGTGCATCTGAATTATAACAAGCTGGGTTTCACAAGTGTACGTGAATTTACGTCTTACCTGCCGAAAATTTTCTACATGACGCAAGTTAACAAGACTGATGACTTTAAGTTATATAGTGCGGATAAGAGGCCAGTAGTTCCAAAAACGGATCCTATTAATGAAACATCGCATGACCACCGATACGACGAACACAGAACAGCACAATACAATAATGATTCTGACGATGAGCCAATCCCATCAGATGTTGTACGTAATAAATTATTCACTGATAACATGTATATTTGTTTAATGATATTTTAGAATTAGCTCTAGGATTGCCAGCAAAGTATATTTTCTCGTGAGTCATTCTATACATTATTAATCCTTAAATGACACATTTATTTTCAGTACATTTAAACGGTACACATGGGTCATTCGTGTCCGATCTAATTTTGAGACTCTTAAAGTGCTCGAAAAATTCTATTAAAATTCATACATGTTCTTTAAGGTCTCTACTAAATTATTCTGCTATGTAGATATTGGAAAAAAAATTTGGAAAAATTATAAAAATTACTTTCTACATCACACACACAGAAAAAGGAAATTATTAGAAAACGCATGGACACGAATGACCCATGTATGCCGTTTAAGGATTAACCATAATAATACTTTGACACAGAAATACTTTTTTTTTCTCTCGAAAGTGTAACATTTCTCCAAAATTTTTTCGTACTGAACATTAAATTGAATAACATAATTTTATAATATATAAAAATTTGTGTATATATATTTTTTTCATCTATATATTGTGTTAATTTAGTTAAATATTATAATTATATATACTTGTACATATTTGTATAAAATATGTTTATTATAATGATTGATACTTTTATTATATAATGAATGCCGGAAGAACGTTTATTATTTGTAATACATGATAATTCAATGACTATGAGGTTCTGTATAATTTTACAGTCGCCTACCATTACCAAGAAGTTCGCTCCCGACGATGTAATGAATTATGGCGATGGTATAGGCAATATACTAGTAACTGATTTAAAACGCACCAAAAAATTCTTAGAGGTATATGTTATGGAAGTGTTTAATCCAAGCTTTTTCTGGATACATCTCCGAGAAAACAGAAAACGATTTAATAAAATGATGGAGGAATTACAGTAAGTACATAAGCAGTTGACCAATCTTAGCACATTTTTTGTCAATGCTGGTATTAAAATCTGAATCGAAAATGTCTTGTTTTCAGTGCTTTCTATGTATGTAACAAAGATAAATATACCATTGCAAGAGTCGCTTTGAAAAAGGACTTGAATTGTGCATGCGTTTACGATAAGAAGTGGCATCGAGCAATCATTAAGAGTGTAAAGCCAGATTTCAGAGTAACGGTTCGTACAATGATAAGTTTTCAACAAGTATTTTCATTAATGTTTAGAAATTATGTTTTGATATGTAATAATTTTATCTTCCAAAACAGGTATGTTTTTATGATTACGGTACTGTGAAGACATATGCAGCTGAAGATATATATTATTTGCATTCAAAGTTTTCCACTTTGCCCGCCCAAGCAATACCTTGCAGTTTATATAATGTTAAACCAACTGTTGGTGATCGTTGGAAGAAGAGCGCAAATGATCAATTCATCGACAAAATCAATGAGACTCTTCTAGCTGCAACTATAATTACTGTTGATCCTCCGGTGAGATTATTTTTTTACTCCTAAAATTTAAAGTGTTTTAATTCTTGATTCTAAATTATATATATTTTATAATTATTCATATCTTTTTATTTTTATTGTTTTAATATCTTTATAATTATTTTGTTTATATCAATTTTTTATTTTAATTTTTAATATTAAAAGATAAATTACATCTTATTTTTTAATTTCTAAAACATTAAATTATATAACTTAATGTTATTATAAATTTATTATTAAATTAATTCTCTAATTATTTTGATAGAACAATTCCATGTTGGTCATTTTGACTGATACAAGCGAAGATGAGGATGTGTGTATAAACGATTGGTTAGTGAAAGAGAAACTAGCGCAAGTTGGTAAAACGGTGCGTATAAATGACATAAAAAATTATCTGATGCTCGATTTCGACTCTGCTCCGTCTATCAGGATATCCGATACAAGACGCGAAGACAATGTAAATAAACCGCGACACTGTAGAGATCAATCGATATTGCATGATGAAAGAACGCATGTATTATCCGATGTAAAAAGCGAAGATATTGAAAAGAAAACTGTTAAGTCCTCCCATAACATTCACTGTAAAAAAAAGGCCCTGCAGTTATTGAATAAATCTCCGGATGCTAAGTCTTTGCATATTAAATCTCCATCCGTTAAATCTACGCCTACTAAATCTCTGGATGCTAAATCTCCAAATACATCGTTGGATACTAATTCTTCGGATACTAAGTCACTGGATGCTAAATTGCAGTCGAATAATTCATCATATTCACAAAATGGGAGATCGAAGACGTCTAAAGAATTAGAACTTATTTCAGCGTTAAAAAAATTAGAAAAATCAAAGCTTAATGGAATATCCAGGTTAAATCCGAACATTTTTATATCCGAGGTAAATACGGATAACGAAAATAATGTAAGACAAATCGATTCAAGCAAGCAAAAAGAATCGCAGTATAGCAGTGAAAATTGTTACGGTTTTATGGACTTCGATTTAAGAAATTCCGACGATGAAGATGGTCAGAATGATTTTGGGACGTTTAGGAGTTTATATGGTGGACATGGCTTAATGGAACCTATTGATTGGTCAGTAATAAGGGAGGAGAATAGAACTGTTACACCAATGAGAGAGTGTAAGAGCGATGTAGAAGATAAACCAGGATCGCATAATCAGAAAAATGAATTACAGAGAAATAAATTACCTGGAAAACAGTATTTTTTAGACTTGACTTCCTTGGAAAAGGAAAATTTTTTACCTGAAGATAACATTGATTCTGATGTTGAAAATGCATCTGATTTTTTAGATATACTGAAATATAATACAGTATCTAACCATACTGTCACAGTAATGTTTACACCAAACGTAAAACTCAAGACTTTGCTTAATAGTAGATCTGAAGATACGAATTCCAGCATAAATATTGTTGAGCACAATGACATGGCTTCTTCAAAGGATCAGAAGGTAGACAGAAATGGCAAAGTCTGCAATGGCAAAGTAAGATCTGATGAGAAAGTAAGGGACAGAGATTCCAATACAGATTCAGAGTCTAATACATCTAATAATAAAGATAATATAAATAGAGAAATGTCTGAATGCAGCTCAAATAATTCCGTTCAGTCCAACACAAATAATAAAGCGTATCCTTTCAAGACGTTATTGGAGAAAATAAAGCAGATGGATTCAATGAACTCCAGTTTCATTAACACAAGCGAATCTTCCAGCAGCGAACAAATTCCATTGTCATCTTACAGTAGTAATACATCCGATGATACTATTATTTCATCGTACGATGAACAAGTTAAGGCATCTAATGTGATGGACCCGGATACTGTCACGATAGTTAAAGAGCCCGCATCTGAGAAGTTGACAGTTGAATCACATAGTAATTCCGAAGGAACAAGAGATCTTTCATCCTTGGAAACAGATTCTATTGCTTCTTCTAACGTTAATGACACAAAGCAGCGTCGGTTGAATCAGTCTATGGAAAATGATTCTGCTGCTTCTTCTAATGCTGATAACACAAAACAACATCAGTTGAATCAGTCTTCCGATTTTGTCACTCCATCCTGTGACATTAATGGTTCGAATCAATTGACTACAATACATCAAACGTTGGACGTTTCGAAACTAATGCAACAGATGTTAAAGATTGCGCAAAATATAGAGAATAATTCTGAATTGGATTCTGACGATCTAAGCCAAGAAAGCCTCAAAGATGACAAAAGTGACGAAAGTAAGAGGAATCATATATCGGATTATATGTCTGAAACGGACGAATCAATGAATGATGATGCAAATATGAGCGAAAAAGCATTTACTGTGTCGAACGACTGCAATGTAGCATTTGATGACAGTGAATGGGATGCAGGTGCAGATCCTGACTTTCTTATTTATTTCGCAGAAATATTGAAACAAGCAATGTAAATTACCGAAATTCCAAACGATAAAATTTAAACTTTTGCCATGAGAGAAAAAATTTTGCGCATCGTAAAAATGAACAGCTTTATTTGTTAAAAAAAATCTTTGTTCATGATTTTGTATCATACATAATTATAATCACATATTTAAGTTAAAATATATATGATCGTTATATAACTACTTAAATGTCATAATTATTAAAAATATAATATAAAATATAATTATTGTAATTAGTGATTATTACAAGAGATATTGCTGTAATATATATTAAATTATATTATTTTATATAATATAATTCTAATATATAATTTTAAATATATTATTATTAATTATATAATTGATGAAATTTACAAGTGATATGTATTTATCTCTAATCACTTTGCGATTATGTAATATATATATTAGGATATTAGTTTATGATTCTGGGAAAAATTAGAACCTTATGTGATGTTATGTGTATTTGTGATTATGGTTATTACTTGATACCACATTGTAATAAAGAAATATGAATGTGCAAAAGTATGTGTGTGCAGTTATTATAGACATGTGTTGATCTCATAAAGTGATAATTTTTCCCGAATTCTAAGTTGTCTAATCCAATCGGTTGTTACTTCGAGCTTATTTAAAAATTTTATCGATATTCGAGCATTCACTTTTGAAAATCTAAAATTCAAACATTTGCTTTCTGAAATTTTAAATTCGATTGTTTACTTTCTAAAATTGAAAGTTTTATTATGATTTCATCAAATGTATCACTTTATCTGATCTTTTCCCTTTTGTTTTCGTAATTTAGGATGCCGTTGACATGGCGAGCTTAATGAAGTATGTGGTAAACAATTTGAATCAAATACCGTCGTATTGCTTTGCGGAGGAGAGCCTGATGCCCGAGAACTGCTACAAAGCCACATTGACAGAGGAAAAACACGAAGTACCTTCAGTCTCATCCGGACCGACGCTTCCACATTACGATAGTCAATATCAACAACAGCCAGTGAAACCGCCGCCAGGTTTTCAGCCTCTCGGCGAACAACACATTCCGTCTAATGCCTCAACAAGGAGTTTCCAGAATAGTTATTCCTTTGCAAATGTAAACGCATCGAACACGAAGGCGTCTGTCTTCAGCGATGCGCAGGCGACAACGAATCCGTTTCTGACTGATGAACAATTCATTCCTAGTGATGTCGTCGAACAGTTATACGTGACAATCTGGAATGAGAATAAAAAGTTGCATATTGGGATAAATGAAATTCTCTGTGATATGCTAAAACATTCATCACTCTCATTGCAGAATCAGATTCAGTTAAATAAGATTTTGAAGATTGTTAAAAAGATTTTATTAGAACAAAAAGATGATTGTTCCACTGTCGAGAAAACTCCGACAGTATCTAATCTTGCAAGTAGAACGACATTGAACGATGTTGATTCAGCACAGAAAGCATCGTATAATTTAAACAATGAAACTGCTGCGAATCAGGAGCCTAATGTAAATATTTCCTCGATGTCTAATCCGTTTGGCATAAACGTCGATGACAGACTACAGAATAAAACTACATTTCCTACTTACGGTTCAGACAGTTTCCCCTTTAAAAATAACTGGAATCAATCTGACGAGCTCAATCCGTGTATGAAAATACCTCCTTCAACAGTAAATCCCACACCTTCAATGTTTATTAATCATGTACTACCAACCATTCCTTTCCTTCCAAAAGCCAATCAGGATACCGAAAATGTTCCCTTGACGCCGGTATCTCCTGCGGCACCAACGAATACTAATAGCTTCAATAATTTCTCAGAATACCTAAATAATATGAACCCCCAGTTTACCAGTATGCTTAAAGATACAAATCCCTTCAAGTTTTCCGTGACTGATGTTTCCGGAACGCAAGTACCAGAAACGCAGACTGAACGAACGAATAATAATTACGATACAGATATCTCGTCGTATCTCTCAACTAAAAATCTACAAAGCAATACTTTAAGAACAGAAACTGCGAATATTCATGCGAGGAACAATGGCTTTACGTCTGTCAGCAACCTGGGACATGTCAGTGAAAGTTACACTCCGAGAATCGTTTACGAATCCGATCCGGTAATGTATAATACACAGAAGAAGCAAACAGACGTAAATGTAAATACAAATGTAAGGCAGAACGCATGTAGTAGCAATTTTGATAATATTCAAAACGCTCAGTCTCTTAAATTAGAACAAAGCAATAAAAAACTTGCATCTCAAGTTTCACAGCCTGCAAAAGATATTGCTTCTTCACACACACAGCATGTAATAAATAACAATATAAGAGATTTGCAGAGTGATGAGAACTATGTTACTCGACTATCGACATATTACATGCAAGGTTCACAGTCGATAAATGGCGAATCGATTTATTCCTACCAAAACAGTAAAGCGGACAATTTGCAAACTGTATCGTCGCAGTCTTGGAATCAATTCGACATTCCAGAACATTTGACTAATTCGAAGTTCCAAAGCAGCATTTCTTTATTGAATAGCAGCAAGAACACACCGATTATTTTATCTCACCAAGATTGGAACTGTGATAATGATAGAAAATCAAGATCTCGAAAGAATGAAGTAACCAATTCGAGTAATATTTTTAAAGTTAATGATGGTTATGACAAAGAGGGATCAACAGATATCTACGCGAATTCCTGGTACAACAATGAGAAGGGATCTGTGCAGAACAAGAATGCGGCTTTTAGTCCTTTTGTATTTCATAAAATTGGTATGATTTTATTAAATATTTAGCTCATTGAACCATTTATCTTTCGTTGTGTATGGAATTAATCACTAACATTTTTTTTGTAGATTCAGTTGAAGGCATAACGTTTATATTTAATTTCGAACAGGACGGTTGGATATTGACAAATGAGTTTATAGAAGCCTTTACGAGTTACAAGTTGCTCTCTCGTTTGTTGACCAAGATAGACATGTTGAATATAAAAGTTACTTTCAAAGAAATCCTAAGATCTCAGTATCCAATACAATTTTCACAATTAGACAAGTAAATTTGAATATTTTAATATTTATAATTACCATCTTCAATCTTATTATATTAAAATATGGGTTTCCCGACATGGGTTGTATTTCCCTTCACGTATCATGTCACTTTCAACATAATACCTTGTAAAACCGAAGCATGTGTGAGATAATGATCGGTATCAAAGTAGAAATCCGCTGATTATAAATTGAGAGATTTTTTCAACAAAGATCCAAAAGACATTTATAATTCCCACGTAATATTTACAAAATATTTACATAAATATTCCATTTTTACATGTATATAATATTAAAAAAATGTATATAATTACATCATATAATTTACACATCTTCATTGTATTTTGTTATGATATTACGATTTCACACGCACGCACGCGCGCACACACACACAATTTTTAAAATAATACTTTTTTTTAATGTAGAAATATACTTTTACCATTTTAGATATCCTCTAAACGTTCCTCGTGATTCTGAGAAACACATTCTCTCTATTAATTTGATCTCGTTCCAAACCACATTGGCATTATTGCACAAATTGAAGATAATTTCGCGAGATGAAATAGATAATGCTTTTAAGAAGAATGAGTTTTTGGATGGTTCTGTTCTACGTACTTTCTGGGTGAGTATCATCAAAATGAATGTGATATCTTAAACTATCTAAACCTTTTAATAGATTTTAAATAGAGGGTGAATCAAATATAAATCGGATTTATTTTTTTTTAATTTATTGAAGCACCATAAAAATACAACATACATAGTTATTTCTCTACATAATCTCCGGACTTAAAACCATATTTTTCCCAACGGATAGATAATTTTTTTATCCCGCTATCAAAAAATGAAGGTGGTTGTGACACCAGCTAATCGCGCACGAACGCTTCGACAGCAACGTCATCAAATCTTTGTCCTCCAAGTGCTTCTTTTAGTGAATTCCAAATAAATGATAATCGCAGGGCGGACTGTAGGGTGTTCCAGTGTAGCCCAGAACAAATTCTTAATTTTTTGTCGAGTTTGGACAGCTGTAGATCCGGGCATTGTCGTGAGCAGGATAATGTCTCGTATTGGAAATTAGCGTCTTTTCCGACAATATGTGAGTTTTGTTTCGTCCAAAAGTTGGCAGTAGTATGCGGCGTTCACAGTACGACGTTCGTGGAGAAAATCGATGTGCAAAACTCCTTTGAAATAAAAAAATACAGTTGCAAGAATCTTTCTAGCTGAGAGCTGACGTCGGTGACTTTCATTTTCAACTGTTTTTCGTCCTTCTAAAAATTGTTTGTGCCACGCGTACACTTGAGTCTCTTTAAGGGTGTTGTGCCCAAACTATGCCTTAAGCATTCTCAAAATTTCGGACGGTTTTACGCCCTCTGTCATAAGAAACGTGATAATAATCCGTTGCGCAACGGATGAGAATACCTTTTGCTCTAACATCATGATACTGATTAAAGAAGCGATAGTGTAAAGTCTTCTACGAGAGGGGGGAATCTCCTTCAGGCATCCCTACCTATAACGCTTAGAAGCCGCACCCTTCTTCGTTCACCTCACGGCGCGTACAAAAATAATTCCGGTTAATATTTGATTCACCCTTGTAATGAAATCTGAATATATAAGCGATTTATATGTAATATATTCTTCTAAATAAGAAATAATCTGAAAGGTTTCGTTATTAAATAGTACAAATCTTTATAAAAATATGAAATTTTCAATTAATTTAATGTTTTTGTTTTAGACTTTGATCCTCACTTACCGCAAACTGAAACAACATATTGAACTATATTCGAATGAATTTTTTATACATAAATGTTTATATATAAAATATATACTATATATATATATACATACATATGCATATATATATATATATATATAAACGTTTATTATTTTGCTCTGATGAGTGAATGTATCTAATAATTTCATAACTTATTATGAATATTTAATGCAATTATTGCTATTGATTCAAATAATATTTTTAAGATTTTTTTTGATAAAAAATTATTATTGTAAGTGACTACAATATGTAATATTGTACAAGTATATAAGTTTTACTTTCATTTTTTTTTGATATTTTATATAATACGAACAGGTGATGTTTATGTTTATTACACATACTTAAGGTTATTACACATACAAAAATTTTAGTCGTAATCATAAGGTCTCCAGCAATTTTATCAATAACAATCAAAATTGCGATCTCGTTTTAAAACGCTTGACTGTGATTGTTTGCAGCCTTACGATTATGACCAAAATTTTTGTATGTGTGATGGCCTTTATGAATTATTTGTACTTTAAATTGTAATAATGCTAATAGTGACATGGTAGTGTATAAAAAAATACTAAATGGTATCAGCGGTAAGCAAAAATAATCTGATTTAGATGTCGTGAGTAGAATTGCGAGTTTTTTTGCGCTATACTTTCTTTTTAGTAATGGGTTAATCATTGAATTATATGAAAACTCAGTGCAAAGACAGTTTAATATCACCTGACTAGAACAGACATTTTTGCTCTCGGTTGTACCTTTGGTTGATTATATTTTTATTTAGTCTGTGATTATTTTTGATAGTTCAGCGTACATAATTTACTTTAACTAAATAAATAAGTCACTATCGTTGCTATCTGACTAAGTACAGTCGAAATAATTCAGAAGTATTTTTGTAATAAGTAATAATTTAGAAATATTTTGTAATTTTTACATGATGACTTAAAATATATGAATGCGCTTAAAATTGCCAGAATATATTTTATGTTAAAACATATTAAAATATATTTTGTAAAAAAAGATCCGTGATTATCATTTATAATAAATATTCCGAGTATTTCCCGAAAAGGTTTTTATTTTATTAAATGTTCTTGTTTTTAAATGAAAGAAATATTAAAATATTTAACTTATTAAACCTTACATCGAGCTGTTTTCTTATAATATAATCCTAAAATGCTATTGCTATTGAATAATACAGTATTGCTATCGAAACGTAAATTTTACATACAAAGAAATAGGTCACTCTTAATTTATGTAATATGTACATGTACAAGTTTCTCATGTATTTCACACTTTTAATGACAAAATATTTATAATATAGACTTATAAACATAAAGAATCTAATTATTAATTTAAAAGAGAAAAGGAAATAAGCACACTATCAAATATAGTCTTAAAATAATCTTAAAATGAAGAATGTGATCCTATTCTGGCTGTGTTCCAAAATTTACTGTCAGTACTGAAAATCTATAGTTTATATTACGTGGACTATACATTTTCAGTACTGCCAGTAAATTTTGGAAAACAGGCGCGCGCGCGCGCGTGTGTGTATCTTCTTACATAATATTTAAATGAAATATATAACACAAACCCTTTAAAAGTTAAAATAATTTGTCATACTTCCTGTTGTAATACTAAACATGAGGGTCCAAATTAGAGTTGTTACTTTCGAAGATTTGATGCTTAGAAAGAATTCAAATCTTCGAAAGTTGAAGGTGTCTTTGGAGCTTATTTTTAGACTTCAAAAAATATATTTGTGCGAATATAGAAAAAATATATTTGTAATACATAGATATTCATACATATATTTGTATATTTTTAAATGAAAATACGTTACTATTAATTATATTTTAAATTATTAACTGTGTACTTTTAATTCGAAGAATTTAATGCTAATTATTTGAAGTTCGAACGTTGAAGTCTTCAAAGCAAATTATACTTAATTATAAAAACTAATATATAACAGAATTTTTAAAAGCTTGTCTTGCTCTAGTTTTAGCATAGCACATTGGACCACTGAAGGCATTATACTGAATGATCTCGTTTATGTACGTGTGTAAAATTTATGTATTGACATATTTCCTTAACCCTAGCATTCTAGATTAAGGTGAAGAAATATGTATATGTATATATATATATACACACATACACACACAGAGTCTGGCCGAATACATGTAAAACATTAAATAACAATAATTTAAATATAATTTTATATTTCTCTCATGGAAAACACAAATTAACGAGAAATCTCAAGAACTTCGAAAATATTGATGAACAAAATTCCAGAAATTTGAAAATTAGATTTTTATGAGTAATATTTATAGATGTTCTCAGCGAAAGTTCTTTCAAAGACGGGATATCTCGCGATTTTATTCTCGATAGCTCGATATATCTTCAATTCTTCAACATGGCGTCCAGCAGACGATTGTAATCGAGGCATAGCGATTTCGCGGCTCGACGACGTTTTGCAATCTTTTTTTAGAATTTTCACGTTTGAAATCGAATTTTTCACCGTGAAAAAATGGCCGAAGGCGAAGAAAAGCTCACGGGTTTGGCAAAACATTTCAATAGTCAAACCATGTATGGTCGGAAGAATGTAAGTAACTTAACCTCAAAATTTTTGACGTCGTTTGTACCAGGATCTCGACAAGTCTTTTTATTTACCTACGAACGGATTTTCGAGTGTTTTATTTTCCAGGTGACGATTGCAACATACGTTGGTATAGGATTGATTGCCTTGTACTTCTATGCGAGATCGAGTAAAAAGACGTAACTTGTAGTCAGAATTTGCAGTCGCATTATGTAATAACGATACATGTGCCGTATCATAATATTCTTCAAATAAATGCAGTCGAAATATCCTTTTGTAAATCTATCTTATTCTTAGTGCTTGTTCCAGTCAGTCTCTAACTGTTCAATGTGACCACAGATAATCATTTACTAAGAATGTAACATGAATATGTTATTTAATAATCGCATCTAATCAAGAAAGTAATTTTACATTTGTTGTTCATTTTACTGAAATCGTAATAAAAAATATGTTGACAAAGGAGAGATGATTAAACAGTACATTTAATTTTTATCGCATACCGAGTATCTTTCATCATATGTTTACTCTGTTCTTGTAATATTTTAAAAATTGTGATCTTTTATTGATCCTTCTTTTCTTCTATGATATTTAATTTCCTGTCATGCCTTATTTAATGTTTTAAAAAGCTACATATGTACTCTGATAGCAAAATATTAACAATTTGGAGTCAAATTGGCAGCAAACTCGATCAGATTTTGACTACAAAACCATAGCCATCTGTGTCTGCATTTGGCTATGGATTTGTCGACAAAGCCTGTTGATAGGCTATGTCAGCAGATTGGTGGCAAAAATCGAGCAGAGTTTGCTCTCAATCTGCTGTCAGGTTATATAGGACCTTGTTCAGTTTCTGCTACCAATCTGCTGATAGCATGTCTAGCAAGCTAATATTTCTGACAGCAATTTGCTGACAATGTCAGATAATATAAATTCTAGGTACAATTTGTTGCCTTTCTGCAATCAGAAATTGGTAGCAGGCCCTGCTCGAAATCTGTTTCCACAGGCTTTGCTATTAGAGTAATTAATTCTTGGTATTATAAGTGCAGAGACTTTGTAATAATAATTTTTCATGTTGGAACCTCAGTGTTATATGGATTAGCGTTATGAGGGATTGAATAAATGTAACTCGTGTATTGATTGTGCGAATTTATTTTATGTACAATAAAATTGATTTAAAGCATATTTGAATGATAAAGAGGATATATGTTTACACGAATGGCGAAATATGTTCCTAACTGTTATGGATTATAAAGAAAACTACTAGAGAGCTACATGAAAATATATTTATATGATATGCTTTGGCAGCATGATGGAATAGAAGTATTGGCTGGAGTAGAAGCCTAATTCAAGGATCATGATTCCTTTACAATAAAGAAAATTTATAAATATATTTCACTTTTTATTTAAGTGTTAAATATTTCAATTTTCATTAATTTGATTAAACATTATTAGATATATAAAGAAAAAAAACATAAGAGTATATAAGTCTTTTGATAATTTTTAAATCAAATTTTGAAATCGATTTTACATTAATGTCTTTCATCTTATTTAATTAAAAATAGACAAATGTCACACAGGATTGTTTTTTCTAATCATTGTTCACTATTATTTGATGATTCCTTATATTTACAAGAATGTCCAGACAGCAATAAGATGGACTTAGCATATGTACATATCGTTGTTGTATATATTAAATACATGAGCATACATATTTATAATGGGCTCAAATATTATAGAAATTCTGTGACTAGAATGACGAATCTCTTTTATCGTATGATTACGAGAGCGTTTTGTTTCCCTCTGTACTTAAATCTAATTTCTTCCCCTCTTATAGCAAGAATATGTTCGGGAATCGTTAAGATAAATTTAAACTTACAGTATCTTTTATCTTATACAATTATCCAAAGCTAAATTAGGAATTAAACAGTTTGTCACTAGTTGATGTTTATTGATCTTTTATCAAATAAAAATATAGCTGTAAATAAATAATTTTTGCAATAGAAAAAAAGAGGTAAGTAGATACTATTTTATAAATTTGTAGATAGAAATATATTTACCGTAATTCTTATATTAATGTCTAATTTTTTAATGATTTTCTTTTAAAATACATCTATATATTTTTGCTTGCATTTATGTGAATGAATGTCATTTTTTTCAGTGTGATGAATATTATTTCACACGCTATTCGTGAAATTTAGATTAAAAGACACTTATATTTATAATTAATATAAGAGTACATTTTAATTTGTAATCTGCAGTTACGATGTTTCTCAGCGCATCCATTCTTTTCATTCTATCTTAAAATATCGTTCTTTATTTTAAATTTGTACATAAATAAAAGGAAATATGTACAGTGTATGTGCTGTATATATATATATATAAATTTTTTGTTTTGTGTGAAAATAACGTTTTAAAAATGTAAGTTTACTGTAAGAAAAATACTGGAAATTGATTTTATATTTTAGTATATGAATACTATTGAATTAGCCATCTAAATCACCCTAAATATCAAACTATGTTTGAGAAATATCTGAAAAATTATGAAATTTTTTAAATATTTTTTATTCCAATTGGGTTTTTTTTAAATGGCATTAGCAGCGATTTTTTTTGATCTTGTGATTCCAATAATGGTAACAGGAAATCTTTCTTTGTCAGTTGACGAATGTTGGTTGAGGTTGATCAGTATGCAAGTTTCAAAGAGCAATAGTCCAAGAATGCAAGCTACAGAATTCTCTATAGTCAGAACAAAAGTCCTCCCCGAGGAAATGTCGCACTATTGGGTTCTTCTGACTTTGAAATTCGATTTATTTTCTTCAGAGAGCTTAGTACGTGACTGACATACCGGAAGTTCGTGAAACCTACTTTGTCAGAGTTAGCAGATGACTTTAAACATTTTTTTACTTTAAATATTTTTTTTAAGGTAACACTGCAAGAGTGTAATACTTTTCGAGTAAAGCTTAATTTCTGAGCTTAATAGCTTTTTATTGGCCTATTTGACGTACAAGATCTTTTATTGTATTCATAATTTTTTGAATTTTTCCATAAAATACAAAGAATGCTTAAATAGAACATGCTTTTAAAACAACGGAAAACTTAAATTAAAAAAAATGATTACGATGAGGCACGTATAAGAGTATTTCAAGACTGGAAATTAAAGGATTTTACTGAATTAAGATATTTTATGAGATAAAAATATCTTTCAATTGATTTTATTTGTATGGTTCGGAAAAGATAAAATAAAGCTTTAAGAAAATATTGGGTTGGAAGAAAAGTTCTGCGGAATTTTGTTAGCTCAAAATTATATACAAAATATATTTGTTGCAAAATTTTCGACTATCTGACGTGAAAACTTAAAGTATTTCCTAAAAGTTTGTTTTTAAAAAATATTCCTACAACTTTTTGTTACATTCTGATTTTGATTGCTCATAACTCTGTTAAAAATCATCGTATCCCGTAATTAATAAAATAGATTCTTAAAGCTGAAACGTTGCTCTATCAAGTGGTGTAATTGCCAATTTAAACAAAAAATAGAATATATGTGCACATTTGAGCTAAAAATATGATATTACTGTCCTTTTTTTTCATTGCGCAATGATTATAAGGATACTAATATCACATTTTTAACTCAAATTTCTATATATTTTACATTTAAAAATTAGCATAATACTATTAGAGCAAAGTTTCGGCTTTAAGAATCTGTTTTTTTAATTGTAGTACGATGATTTTTAATGAGCAATCAAAGTCAGAATGCTCCTTTTTACTTAATTCGCGAACAACTTAAGAACAAAAAATCATAGAAACATTTCTATAAAACGATTTTGTAAGGAAAACTCCTCTTTCACGATATAGATAGCCGAAAATTTTTAGTCAAATTCTTTTTAGTACATGACAGATTCACGAAGTGAGAAGAAAAATTTTCCTTTTTTTCAACTCGTAGTTTTCTATATATAAAAATTACAAAACTCACAAAAATATAGTAACTATTTGAAAGTAGAGATTTCAAACTTTAAAACCTTTTTTTTTTTAATTTAAATTTTGATTATTTTTGACGAAGATATTGTATATATAATTTTGAGTTAACAAAATACCGTAGAACTTTTCCTCCAATTCCTCCAACCCAATACGTGTTAGATGTTCCTGATACGTACTCTAAAATTCTTATCAAAAGTATAAATAGTATATTTTTATTACATTTGATGTGAAACATAGTTATAAATTGTTCATATCATTCTTTTTACTTCTTTTTACTTCTTTTTCAAGATTAGGCAAGATAAGATTTGATATTGTGAGAAATATCGTTGTAATAAATTTAATAGAGATTCTCGTTTTTTTATGAGAGGCGTTTATCCTTATTCTAAATATATTTACATGTATTTATAGTATATATGCAACATTCTTTAAATTTATTAAATATTTAATACAATCTTTTAATTGTCGAGATATTTAATTAATACTAAAAATTAAAAATTTGTGAAAGATAAAATTCAAGATTTTTGAAACGAAAAATTTTCAAATTTTCTTCAATTGTGAGGGAAATATATTATTTTATATTTGGAACTGTGTGATGCGTATTTTTATTTTTTTATTATTATTTCCATTGCAAGTTCAAGGATTCAATATTAATTTTGATAGAATATTCTGTTTGATACTTGACATATTTTATCAGGGAAAATTTCTTATTGCTTAATCTATCAATTATACTTAATTCATTAATTTATATTAATTTATTAAGCCAATATCGCTTTGCGTCTTTTATGAACAGTGAGAAAATTCATGTTCGATGATTACGGAAGCATGAATGAATTAGTGTAATCGCGTGACTGCTTAAAGTATTTGAAGTGGAA